CGAGCTTCACTGGGTTTTATCTCCACCACAGCTCACCCTGCGGTCCAGGCAGTTCGCGTTTCGACGAATCACGTCGGGGTCACCAGATGTCGCGGACTGCCTGTGTCTTCTTCCGATGGGTCGCAACCAACCGACTGTTGCGACCACAAGGTATTCTACAATCAGAAGGCTCTTCTAAACTCACTGCTACCTTAATCCAACAGAGAGCTCCAATTCACGCTCTCCCGAGGGCTCCTACCTCTCCAAACTCCAGGAGGGAAATGCCCCACTCCCTCTTGGGAGTGCCCCACCTTTAAACTTCCCATAGGTCACGTGGTCTCCGGCCAACCAACGTGACTCAGCACCTGTCTTGATGAGGCACAGGTGCTTCTCATGTAGCAGCCGGGAAACTTCCCCGACACACACAGATCTTCCTTCTCTCCCTCACTCCACAGTCAGAAAAAACATGTTAGTTCTCAGTGTGCTTGGCCTTGCCAGAGGCTTGTCCTGTTGCTTGTGTTTGGGAATGTAAGTCTCATCGTATCATTAGAGTAATGAACCAGTTTTCAAATCCCCTGATGTCTATTTTTGCTTGACAGCTAATTGCGTTATTAGGACGAGACGTAGTAGTATCAGCACTTCAGTTTTCTTAGCTGAGAAATGGGCAGTGCCTCACTGAGCACTGAGGTAGGGCTAATTGCAGTTCTTGAAAATCGGAATAACGAGAAGAGAGCCTCCAACAGAAGTGCTGCGAGAGGGAAGACACAACTAGCTTTCTGCAGTGTTGGGATTGCCAGTGGTTTCTCGCAGCAACCAGCTTGTAGCCTGGATGGCCATTCTGCTCCAAGGCTCTCTTCAGCAAATCCAGTGGAGGCAAAGCAATGTTTCTCTTCCCTCTGCATGGGAAGCAGCAGAGCTGGAAATTCTTTCTTCCTGGATGCAGAAAGATCACTCTGTATTCATTCCTTCTTTCTTACATACCCAAACACTCACACACTGCGTACACACAAGCAACTGTGAAATTTGGCTCCTCATTTAAAATCAGCACACAAATACATAACCTTATTACCTATCTGCTTTAAACGAAATCAGTGCTGAGAAAGAAAAACAAGCCTTTCAAAATAACGTGGAAAGCACACGGATTTACCACTTGGCAGTAGTTTGGATTTTCAACAAAGGGGCTTTTGTGGAAACTGGGACTGGGTGTCCAGGAAGGTATTGGAAATACATACCTTATTCCAGCACATGTAGCTTGTAATTGCTTCAGTATAGCGGTGACCTGCTAGTACTTAGGACTGGTCATGATCCTAGTAGGGCAGCTGGGATGGCTCAACACATGGCCATACAGCCAAAATCTCTGTACCTACTCTTGCATGTCCGTGCTGCCTACTGGGATCAGTTCCTGGCTCATGCATCCTGTGAACCATGTCTAGGAACTGCTCGGAAAAGTTGTAGTTGGCGCAGACCACAAGCACATTGGAGAGTGTGATAACTACTATGTCATTGCTGCCTGCCAGCGTTCCAGACTGCGGCCCATCCTGGTTTAGCTCAGTCATTTAGACAGAGCTGCTGCATCCAGATAGGCAGCACACTGCTGGAAGGAGCTGCTGGACCTACCTGGGAGCCTGGCCAGTGCATTTCTCGGGTCTGATTTGAGTTCAGTGATGACTGAACCTGGTCCAGGGCCAGTCTCCAGAACTGACTGGAAGAGGCAGGTCTGCAGTACAAGGCATTAGCCAGGAAAGGCTTTAATGCAGAAGGCAGGTCCCGGTGCTGCGTCACAACTTCCCTCCAGCTTCCCACATCCAGTGCACCAGGCAGAAAGGCTGGAGAGGAGCTGTGCCACAGCACCGCACAACAGTGCTGCTGGAACAGGAATGTCGAAAGACGTTAGCAAAGTGCCTTTGGTCCTTCCTCCCTCAGCTCCGCTCCATAGAAAATCCACCTGGGCACATGCATGCAGGCTCAAAACCACCCAGACCTCCAAGTCTGTGTACAGAGACTCGGAGACAGGCTTGTCAGGGGGAAGGTCAGCTGAGCTGGAGACTCACCCGGGGCCACTGGCTGTAAGAGCAGCTGCTTTTGTTGGAGGATCGAGAACTGAAGATATAGTCAGGCTCCTTCCACTTAGTTTTGGAGAGTTGCTTAGTTCAGGCAGGTGGAGAAAGGCCTTGCACTAAAACTGGTGTCTGCAGACTGTGCAGAACAGCACTGTGGCACTGCAGTGCAGAAGTGAGGGTACGTATCATTGGCATCTCCAAGATGTGGTGTGCACTGGAAAGAAAGAGGAGAGTTGTGGTTGCTCTGCAGATCCTCGCTGTGCGAGCAGCTCCCAGGCTTAGCACATCCCTGCCATGGACTCCGGTTCTTAACCAGTTACCAGGAATATTTCTCCTTGATTCATGCAGTCCAGGTTTAACAGAAACATAAAAATAAATTTGAAGTCCCGTACTCCACCGGAGAAAGTGTAATGGCTTGAACTGATTTTCAGCTAGAGTTTGGGTTCAGTGTGACTCATTAGGTTATAAATTATACAACTTGTCCGCAGTCCTTTTTCCCACGAGCTCCGCAGCAGTCAGTGGCATCTCACCAGGGACACCATTCCAGCCTTCAGCCTATCTGCTAGGAAACAGGATTTTACCTCCTGCAGGAGTTTCGCTTCGCTGCTCCCACAGTAAATACTGTAATCCAAATGGGCTTCCTTCATGCAAGCGGTGGTGGGCTGTTCTCCTGCAGAAACTCCCAAGGAGCTGAGCTTCACCTCATCCCAAAATCTTCAGTTCCACAGCACACTAATGGTGCTGAGCCAGTGGGATCTCCCATAAATGCAGGTGTGGGAACAGGTTTTCCTGCTTACTTTACTACACTGGCATTTCCTAATGAAGTACAGCAGTTCCGTGTGGTAAACAGAAGTCTCACTGCCAATGTGCTCTGCTTAGGCTTAGTTCTTGGTACCAAAATACTAATTACTAGACACCAGTTGTTCTTCCAAGAAACATAGATCAATACACATTTTACATCTATAAATAAATGCTGATTGTAAGAAATAACTATACCAAAGAGCACAAATAAACACCAGGAACTCTGTTTACAGTTAGCATGTTTTTATGTAGGTAATTACTTTAGATGTGTGCTGTTAAATATCACGTTTTGTGGTACAAGTGGCTTTTCAGCTGTTGGAACAGCTCCTGTTTCTCATTTCCAAATTTTCGAATATCCATTTCAGTGCCACTGGACAGTATTTCTCATGTCTGCTAAGATTTCCCCTAAACATCAGCATTCTTTCCTGGCTGATGTAAAAAGCATTACTGAAATTTTAGGTTATTTCTAACAGTGTCATTTACACAGAAAACATACTGAGTGAAAAATTGAGATATTACTTATTTTGAAAAACAATTTATCCTTTTATCCCATCACTACCCCACTTGGAGCCACGTAATATTTCTGACCAACACAGAGGATATGCATCCTTGTTATAAGATGTTAGGAACTGATGCTTTTATTAAGCTGACTTTGTTTTTCCCACTTCAGAAGAAATCTGATGGATTGCTATAAAATCATTTGAGAAAATACATGTGATCTTTGTGTTCGTTGCTTACACGCTGTAAAACATAAGGCCTTTCTCCTGCTTTGCCAGTAAGAGAGTTATAGCTGGACATTTCATTAAGAAAACCCATTAGAGAAGCTCAGTGATTGGAATATTATGTCTGATATGAACATTCAAATAAAGAGAATGAATCTGTCTTTGAAACTGATGACAAACATCTCTCCTTGGTTCCATTGATTTATGTACTGATATTGTGCTTTTGTGAGCTGTCTAGCTCAGCAAGTGGCACAGGGTTTGACTTAGTCAGATTTGTGACTTCTTACATTTAAAGATGTTACTTTTAAACTGTGTGGTTTTAGTAAGAGGAAAAAGGACTTTTAGATCTTATTTTTCTAATAGGCCAAAATAAGAAGATATTGGCTAAGGACCTGTGATGGTTAAGAGTTGAAGTAAGTTGAGTAAACTGACTGAATGCTATTTTAGGTCACTATATGAAAGGGAACTTAAAATACTTTCTTCTGTTTGCAGGAATAGACAATCTCTATGAGAGGGCTCTTCACATCCGCAAACTCCTCCTTACTTTGCCCAGGTCGGTCCTTATAGTGATGAGATACCTCTTCGCCTTCCTCAACCAGTAAGTGCTTTATCATTCCCCAAGGTTCTGTGTCTTTATCTGCCTTCCTCTGCTGGTATTGAAGTTCTTTGGGTTTACTCACACTCTATGTAGAATTTACATTTAAGCTCCATTTAACACAAAAGATGATCTTCTAATTGGCAAAGAAAATAGAAGGAAAACACTAGTTTTCATTCAAATTAAAATCCCATTTTTCCAAAACTAAGCAAAGTTGTAATAAGACAGATTAAAGTGTTGTCTGCAATGAGGAGTGCAGGCTACAGCATTAAAGCTGATAGAAAAATAAGCTGATAAGAAAAGTAACAAATACAAACTGTAACTATATTTAAAATAATTTACATAATTTAAAAGTTGTTTTTTTTTTTCTCCATATCTCAAGCTGATGTTAAGCTCCTGTCAGGAAAAATAATCAGTATATTCAAGCAGCACAGGCACTACAAGCTACCTATTTGATGCTAGGCACTGCCAGGGTAAGACTTTGTGTTGCTGCTTCTATTTTCTGGTAATAGGGCTACCAGTATAGCGAACATACATCCCTTGTGTACGCTTTGATATAAAGTAGCTTGATTCTCACATTGCAAAACACAGGCAGCTGCTGCAAGGAGGGTTGTGTGAGAAAGGGAAAGTGGTGTTCGTGTCTTCATCATCCCAGAAAAACTTCTTCATTCTCAAAGATAAAATAAAAGACAGGTTGGGCAGTTGCACTGTGCTTCTTCCATTAGTCCTTCACAGCCCTCTCCGGTTTTGCTGACCCCAGTATTTTCACTGTAAATTTTGCTTCTTGTGCACTTTGCCCTGATTCTAGTTCTTCTCTTTCTGCTGCCATATAGTCTGTTTCCTGTTATATCTGTTTTCATATTGCCTTTTTCCTCTTTTTTTTTTTTCTAAATTTGCCCTCTGCTGATTCATTCTGTTTGTGACCTTCCCCATTTCATCCATCCTGTCTGTTCCTATAGAAACAGGGTCTTTGCAGCCAGGTTGTGTGTGCAATGCCTGTATTCACAGCTGTTCTCGTTTCCTTTCTTCTAGTAATTTCTGAACCTCTTTCAAGCAATATTTAAAAGAGGCGCAGAGATCTAAAGTTTTATGAAAATAACCGTTCATTGAAAACATGAATTCATTCCTCTATAGTGACACTGTGTAAATATCTCATAGGTTTATATTGCAGCTTCTTCTCTACTTAGACATACAGATTGGCCAGAATTATACGAGGTTGTAGTTGTTGCACAGTCATAGCTACGTCTGTGCTCTCCACAGGAATGCAGTTCAGAACACAGGGTAAATCTCACATGCCTCCAAACTGCTCCTGGTGCATCCACAGGCAAAAGATTCCCGTAGTTTTACTTTCTGCAAATCCAGTTCTGCTTTTTGCATATGCAGTTCGGCCTGTTGGCCACATGAAGTCATCAAACCTCATGGCTTGACCTCAGCTGGTCTGGCGTCCTGCTCAAAGCTTCTAAAGTTAGATCAAGTTGCTCAAGGCTTTGTCTTGACTTCATGAGCACCAAGTGGAAGGGGAACTATCAATTTCCTTGACCTACTGGCTTTGCTTTTCCTAATACAGACACATATGTAACTAGCCTTCATCACTGGAAGACACTGCTGAATCACGTCCAACTTCTTGTCCAAGAAGTGTTTTTCCCAATGCTTTTTCTTGGGAGCTGATACTTAACAGTCAGCTCCAGACTGTACTAATACATGGGATTATTTCATCTCATTGGCAGGATTTTGCATTCATCCGTGTTGCACTTTACAAAATCCCTGTTCATCTATTCCTCCATCTTGTCAAGGTCCTTCTAAATGGTAACCCTGCCCTTTAGCATATCTGCTGTCCCCCACAGTGCAGCAGCATCTGTAAGCTGGCTGAGTGTGCGCTCCATCCTGTGGTCTAGGTCATTAGTGAAGATGTTGAACAGTGTCAGCCTCAATATTGAGCCCTGAGGATCACCACATGTTACCAGCCACCAGCAGAACTTCCTATTTCACGATGATAATCTTTTTTTACACATTCTTTCACACATATAAAAGCTGAATCATCTTATAAATCAGTAGAACAAGATGTCTCTGATTAACACACAGGATATGATAACAAATCATGGCATAAGAAAGAGGAGAACATGATTAATTTTACAAGGTAGTTACAAAGGAAATAGTTAAGGAGGTTTGCCTCTTCAGTTTGTGTTCTTTGTACATGTATACTCCTTAAAATTCCTTTCTAAAGGGGATATAATGGTGTATTTAAACATAACTAGACATATTAATTTGTATGCTGCTTCAGAGTGCAGAACAACTCTGAGGTAAAGGCATCCCAGTGCTTCAGGTTCTGTCTGACTGGTCCTGCTCAGAACCACTCAAAAGCCAGTATTTCCACCAGAAATGCCAGTGCTTTTAAAGAAGGGAATAAACAACAACTTTTCATTCAAAATCAAAATTGAAAACTAATGATGTTGAATTCTCTGGAGGAAAGGAGACCTTGCAAAAACTGGTTAATAAGAACAATCAAAGGCTTTTGTTGTTTTGTTTCCAAAATGAAACCACAGTGGGCATTTGTGGGCAGAGGGCAAGGTGCTCAGGGATTTTAGGTTGTATGGTAAAAAAAAGAAACCAGAAGTCACAAGAACCTTTGCAAGATCCAAGAACTTAGCTACCTCCAGAAAACAATTCAGTCTGCCTAGGTTATATAGCCAGTCAATGGAAGAGATGCATCAGGGCCTGATGAGAAGTGATAAGCATGATCCACTTCGGATCCAGTCCACTTTGGCCCCCAAGGATAAGTGATGATGAGATACAAGCAGCAGCAGTTGATGCATTTTACGTTAGCCCAGTAAGTCAGTGTACACTAAACACAATAGTGTAGAAACACATACATCTAGGTACATATATATGCTATAAACTCACTTTATAATGTGTATAGCCTGTTGAAGAAATCCCCTTTTTTCGTTTGTTGCATTACGTGGGATTAAGTGTAAAGGAGAACAGGAAATCTCTAAGTCGTGACGGAAAATAAAGTTTCTCCAGTTTTCAGAATAAGGTTAGTCGCAGTTGAAAAGTCAATTTTTCTTGATTTTTCTGTTATAACAGCCTGTCACAGTACAGTGATGAAAACATGATGGATCCATACAACCTGGCTATTTGTTTTGGGCCAACCCTGATGCCTGTTCCAGACATACAAGACCAGGTGTCTTGCCAGGCACACGTGAACGAGATAATCAAAACTATCATCATCCATCATGAGGCTATTTTTCCAGATGCTAAAGAACTTGATGGCCCAGTGTATGAAAAATGCATGGCTGGAGATGACTACTGGTAAGTCAGAATATTACCCTTCTGTCTCCTTAACAAAATTATTAGACTGGTTGTCTGGATAACTCCTGTGACACAGAATGACTTTCGCACACAGTAGAAGCATGAAGATAAAAGAGAAGAGCAGGAAAGTGTTAGCATGTAAAAATCATGAAGGAAAGGCAATTATGAGGTTCCCTACATTATTTTTGGAGAAAGCTACCCTTGTGTTCAGCCAGACACAGCCAGAATTCCAGGTGTACTATGTAGAGCACATAGCCAGAAACTGACTTTCTGTGAACCATCTTAACAAATTTCAGCTTATGATGCCTTCCCCCTGCTCCTTTCCTCTCAGCAACACACACATCCTTTTCATAAATGGAAGGATTCAAAGGTTCTGGGAACTTCTTAATAACTGAAGATGTTGTATGGAGGAGAGGTGTGTGGACTGCTTCAGTAATTGTGTATTTATAGCACGTCATGAGAATTGTGTTGCACATAACTGTATAACATCAAAAGAAGAACTTTAAATAATCTGATGGGGGTGGCGTATTTTCGATATGCGTGGAGGACATCAGTTACCGCAGTGGACTGAGGAAGAAAGGGACCGGGGTTTAACGCCCACTGAAGCATCCTTTTCATGCTGTGGTTTCTCTCTCTGCTCCACCTTTTGTTTCCCTTCAGCGACAGCCCGTACAGCGAACATGGTACATTAGAGGAAGTGGACCAGGATGCTGGGACAGAGCCCCACACCAGTGAAGACGGTATGTCTGTTACATTACTGCACCTTTGATAGGAATAAGTTTTACAGGTGTTTCATGCGGGAGCCCTTCTTCCTTTCCTACTTGTGTCTTATTTGAAAGAGGAGGATTTCAGTCCTGGTGGTCTGTAGCAAAGCTGGCTTCTTTAGTCTCTGTTTGTGTGCCTTTTCACACTGATTCATCTATGTTTAACCAGCTGTTTCCTTGTTCTCTCCTGATTTGTCCAGTCACAGGAAGGGCAAGAGAAAAACTATTTCAGTCAGCACATATTATTTTCTGATATAATGTTACATTTTTAGTGACTCTTTATCTTTTGTCTGCAAAAGCTAAACTTATCAAAAATGTGTCTTTAAATATTTCAACTAAGGGATATTTGCCATTCAGTGGGCTCTGTTTTGACATAAATTTAAAAGCTGTTTCATCTAAAGGATTTATAACTACTGAAAAATATATGGGTACCCCCCCACAGTGAAACTTCCGAACAATAGCCATTTGCTATAGATATTAATCACGTATACTCCGTTAGTTCTGAGTACGATAGATATCCATGAAAAATTTGATGCATCTCTATTATATCAGTCCTTTTTAGCCAGGTTTCCTAAGGGTGTATTTGACTGTGACATATTTCAGTTGGACCATCCTTCAGTTGTCCCTCCCAATAACTTCTGCCCAGTTTCAGGCAAATGCAACAGATGGAAAGAGTTGTCAAAATTGTTAAATAGATACCATTTCCCTAACAATTAGTAGCCAGTTAGAGATGAAGGATTAAGAATAACAGTCTCTATTAAGAGCTGCAGTGTGAGTTCACTGCATGTCCGGCCGGCAGGCACCCCAGACAGAGCACACGTGCACTCAGCACTACAGAAACAAAAGCTGCCCCTTGTCCATCTCAGAGGATGTGTGGAAGGAGGAAGAGGAAGAGACAGAAAGAGGGAAAGGGGAGGAAAAGAGCTACAGCAAAGACGGAAATTTATTTTTCTTAAAAAAGGATGTCATAAGGATACTGGTTAGGAGCTGGGATGATTGCCATAGGAAAGGGGAACAGGAAAGTATATCTATAGGAAACCTGGCTACACTGCTCCCATTGCACACTAAACAATGTAAACAATAGTTCCACTCTAGCTGTACCCGTCTGCTTTGTCACGTAGACAAGCTGTCAGTGACAGATTGCCTGTCTCTTCCCCTTTGCCGCGGTGAGGAGGGGCAGGCAGAGTCTATCAGTGCAGCTGTTTGGAGAGGAGGAACAGTTGGGTGGGCAGGCATCACATAAGGGGGAAAAAACTGAGAATAGGAGAGAAGTCAATGTTAATCTTCTGCCTGGGGTGTATACCCATGCCTGCACACACCATAGGGAGCGCTGACAGTTTTACAAGACAGCCTGTACGTGGGTTCCTCTTCATGAGCTCTGTAGAGCTATGCCCACTGTCTTTATGTAACAAAATATACACTAAATGGTGTGGACAAACTCATAATTGCACTTTATTTTTCCAAGACAGTATAGCTATACTTTACAAGAGCTCCTTCTTCCATTGGAGGTATGAAGCAAGAGTGGAAGCCAAATAAGTCTGTCTTTCTGCCTTATTTAGAGCACAAGTGAAGTAGTGAAATGCAGGAGACACACCAGTTCAATATATTGGGGCCAACTTTGAGGTCCTATGACCAAACTGAGAGATGAAGGCCGGAGTGGACATGGAAAAGAAGTGCAGCTTTTCAGCAGCAATCAAAAGCGGTTGCTTCACTTTGTTCACCAGATTGGCCAGCAATTTAATTCTAGTTGCCCCATCACACCTTTATAATTAATTCAGTGCTGAAAGGAAGCAGACATTTCTGTTTACAGCAAAATAATTATTAGCACAAAAATATTTATATTCTAGTGAAATACTGCTGCAAAAATCAAGATTAGCAAGCCTGGATCACATACAAAATGTTGTTGGCCTTCAGTTCTCAGCCTGCAAACTCTAACCCATTTTTTTTCCATGGATACAACTTTCCATTATAATAGCACATTTTTCTAATGTAAGTTACAGGCTTTAAAACAGATGCATTCACCGGCTCTTTGCACATACATTCACATGTTTATCCTTTGGACAATTCCTTTTTTAAAGTGTTCTTGGTACCAAATACGAAAGTGGGTGAGAATTTTTTAGTTTCCATATTGAACTTCATGAGTCACTGATTGACCTGTGGTGGACAAAAAAAAGTTTCCACTAAAGAGTCTGGAGTACTTTAGGGTTTAATGTGATTGATGCATTGATTATAAGCTGGGTACATCACTGGCAGCTGTATGTAGAGAGACAGAAAGGGAGTCGTAGCATTGCTGCTGTATTGATCAGACATGTGGTAGTTACATATTTCCCTCTGTTAGGAGATGAAAGAAGCAGGTTTTTTAAACGTATTTTTTTTAATGTTGAAAATCTGGTTAGTTTTATGCTAAAACTTAGTATGCATACACAAAACCAAGCAGCTAACCCCATGGGAATTGCAGGGTTATTGAAACATAATCCAGAGGCTATGATCAAAAGTGAAAGGATTTATTTTTCTACTTTAGTTATTGTTGTTATAAGAATTACTTGCTGTATAAAGTTAAACTACAAGTGAATCTCTCTGTGCCTACTAGAATTAACCCGTCTGTAGGGGCTGACTCACTAGGACTAGGAATGTTTAATTACAATTTAGAAAACAACAAGACTTTTTAAAAATCAAAATGTAAATTATGTCTGCAGAGGTGAAATCTGGTAGCATGGAAGAAGGCTGGAACTTATAATTGAGCATACAAATACTTCATAACTGCTTAATTTTAAGCATATAAATTGCCTTTTTTTTCCCTAAGATTACTGGTGTTCATATATTTCTGTTGATCACTGGAAAGGGAGGAGGGAAGGAGATGTGTGTTACTGTAGTGTTTTCATTCTTTTTTAAATGTACAGAAAGTATGCCTATTAAGGAAAATACATAGGTTTCTTCTTTCTCCAAGATCCGGAAACTAGATTTAATTTGTGAAGTTTAGAACATTTGTACTCAAGCTCAGACACAAAAAAAATCTATCTGTATTTTTGCTGCATAAAAATCTTTACCTGAAAGTGCCTCTTCAGTAAAGATTCAAAGGATGTTTTTCATGTTTTGCTGAAGCAGTTTATAGCGTATTTCTTTTACCTTCAGTTTGCTGGAGATTTTTTATTCTTGTTGGAGGCATATGGAAAAGGGTGACTAGGTTTGTTTTCAAAGGAAGTAAGAGAGAATTTCCTGAGGAAGTTAAACGGATGGGTTTCTCCTGGGAAAACATACATACAATGGATATCATATTGTTCATAGATACCTCATAAACATAGGGTTAAAATTGAGATGGTAGTTCTGCTAGAAACAAAAATCACAGGGACACGTAAGGCTGTGAGTTACTGTTGTGTCCCCAACACATAGTAGTTTTCCTGCTTTTCAGTAGCGCATGCTGTGATCGACATTTTGCCAAATTCTGTTCTGTCAACACCTTGCGACATTTCTTTGCTTTTGCTGTTCCCCAGTCAGAGAACTGCTGTCCTCAGGACAGGACTTTGAAATTGCAAAGCTGCTGTTCTCTGATGGGGTGCGGAAGAGGATAAACACCCCAGGAGATAGTGTCTTCCCAGGGAGTTCAAGGACATACTCTATTCCCGACAGCCAGGGTACATCAGGGAGAACTGAGGAGGAGCAGAGCAACAGCAAAACCCTCCCCAAGAGTGCAGGGGATGATCTCTGCTCTTTTCTTTATCTCCTTGGGCCCTGAGGCGTAGAGGACAGCGCAGTGCCACTTCGGTGCCATCACCTCTGTAGGGAGGTCAGTACTACATCTGGCACTCCCATCCCGAAATTAAAATTAGCTCTTATGTTTCCTCTGCCCTTTCTGCTCTCCCAAGCTGTTGGATCTGGACAGCTCTACTTGGCATCAAACCTTGATTTTTAAGCGCACTGCAACAAAACGTGTCGTCAAATGGTGCTAATGATCATAATAAACTTTGGGGGTCATAAGTAAAAAAGCGAGAACAGAGCTGGATGATTAACAAAGTCCCTAAAGCTTTTCCCACAGTTCTTCAGTTTGTCCTCATTTTTCACTTTCATATCATTGCCTGAGTCACTAGAGGTGATAGCTGATGAGATCCTATATGTCATCAAATACTTCTTGCTATTGTAGGCGAATGCCCTCAGGTATAGACAGAGCAGTGCAATTATATTTCCCTCCAAGCTGTCAATTTTACTGTTAGACATTCAGTACCACACAGAATTTGAGTTACAGATCCCAAATTCAGCTTTCATCACCTTTGCTTTTCTGGAAATGCCTGTCTGTCATTCAGTAACCTTGATATTAAATGGCTTAGCTTTTCAAAATGCATTTATTTCTGGGAGTAACTGTCATGGTACTTTGGTTTTAACTATTAAGGCTTGACCTGTAACAAGGTGAATTACTATTTAAGTGCAGTCTCAGTGCTGTTTGCTATAGGAAAGTTCTCTCCATGTAAAAGCAACATTCAAGCAAAGAAAATGCCCCTTTCAAAATAGTGAAATCTATCTGAACATATTTTTGGTTCTATTAAGAAAACTGTTTGAGATCTACTGGGCACTTCTCCCTGAGGAGGTAGGATTTGTTAGCCAGGCAATCTACTGAACGTGTCTCAAAAGTCACATCCATTATGAGTATATTACCAATTCATACAGCTGGTTCCAGTGGGGCAACTTTCTTCAGCCTCTGGGAACATATGTGAGTCTTGCAGGTGATGGAAGGATGCAAAAAAAAAAGATTCCCACCATGCACCATGCTTAGATTAGTGTAATTCCACTGAGGGAGATAGAACTATTTCTAGATTAGTCCATTAATTTGTACATAAAAAGACCTGTATACTCAAATGTGGGATACTGTATGGTCTGTTGAAATGAGCAAAGAAATGGGAAATCCCATAGCTAATCAGTGTGGGGGTTTATCAATCAATCCAGTACCCATAACTGTTATCAGTTAACTTCAGAGAATGTCAAAGAAAAGTAAGTACAGGAAATTTTGGATTTTCTTACATAAAGGTTTTTTTATTTGGTTGTTGTTTTTTTTTTTAGTTTTGAAGTACTACCTTTTAGTGAGTGACTGGCTCTCTGAAACCTGGGAGCTTTTGCTTTTGAATTCCTGACCCACTCTAACCCGTAACTAACCTGCAGTCTGAGAACAGTATGTTCATACAAACGTCTGCTCCTGTTCAATCCTACCTGATCCCAATACTTTCTTATAATGAATTCCACAAGCAACATGCAAGATATGTGTAAAAATAGCATTCTTTTGTCGGTGTTACGGTATGGCCATTTGATTTCATATTGCCCTCTTAAACACAATGCAAGATAAACGGGCATGTTTAGTTTTATTTCATTTCATTTGGCAATAGTGTCTTTCCATGCCTATAGTTGCTTTGTCACGCTTGTACTTTCTGTTAGTTATGCTGTAGATAGAGTATCTAGAAATGAAACCAGGATTGTATATTAGAATATAGCACTGATACATACACCAGCATTAAAGTTTTCCCAGTTTTCCAGAATGTTTTTTTCTGTGTCATCTTTACATTTGCTTTGCTTAAAAACGTAAAACTAAGAAACCTCTCGCCCCCCCCACCCAGCCACCAGGAACGCCTGCCAGCGAGTCATCCAGTAGCGATGCATTTGTAGGAATTAATACTGTTACTGCTAGGTGCTTATTTGTGTTTATATATTCAAAATAATTTACACCAGTGTTTGTTACTTTTGCATTTGTAAAAGTGATTTCCCCATACCACTGTATGCCATCTCTGGAAAGTTTCTGGATTTGTAACTCCTAAATACCCTGCAGTTCACCACCGACGGCAGCTCTTAGCGTGACTGCAGAAGCAGCAAACCACAAGACAGCCTTCTGCAGGCTGGGCAAGTTATTAAAAAAGCCAGCTGCAAACTATAACCTCAATAAAGATGCTATCATTATGTTTTCATGCTGCAGGATGAAGTTAATTTCAAAAAGACATTCCTGCACAAAATGTTGTCGTAAAGGGACAGTGGCTTTTATTACCAGCCTGGTTCTTTGGGGAATTACAACCTCAGCAATTTTAATTTGCACCAGGCAGAAAGTTGCTATGCTAGTCATTAGCCCAGATGTTAATTTCCATCTAAATATTGCTCTAATTATGTAAAGAAATTTGTCATTTTGAGGACTCTGAGTTATTGGAGTCAACAAAGTGTGTGATTTTTAAACCTCTGTTTTGCAGTTTTTTCTTTATGTTTTGAGACTGTGGTGACAAATTTTACTCTAGTTGAGTTCAGGTGCTTTTGTGCAGAAGACACTAGAGGTTGTTAAAATCACAGCTGTTTCACTGATGTCTGGGCACAGCTCTGAAGATACCTGCAATCAGAGACTTTCAGCAGGGGCCCTTCATGGACATCAGTAGGTTTCCGACCCAAGCATAGGTTACAGGATGGAGTCCATTAGCCAGCATAAGGCTGAACTTACCAGCATCCTGACAGAAGATTAGCCAGGACTGCTGTAACCAATATTTGACTTCAGAAGATACCAGCCTCCGCTGCAGAAACCAGAGGAACTTGGGATGTTGGAGCAGGCAGAGGTGCCTTAGGCACCGTCAGGCCACACAGGGACTGCCCCTGCTGAGGATCGTCCTTAGGTGGTCTGGAGCCATCTGCCTCACTCAAAAACGGCATTAGGGAAGCAGATTAAAGCACTAGGCTTCGATGTTGTGTAGTTTTTCACTGGTCTGCACAATCGTCACGTAAAACACGGAAATCTCATAGTCCAATTAGACACAGCATTCCTACTCATGCACAGGGAAATCCTGTCTTCCTTCCTTTGCCACTGCAGATGTTAAAGGCGCTGCGGTTTACTTTTTCTTCATCACACTGCTTCCTCAGGCCTCTGATTACATCTGGGTTTGTTCATCTGATTTTCGGAGGTGGTCGTTGCCTGGCCTCCCTCCCACGCCCCAGCCGTGAAGGAGCCCTTGCAGCAGGGGGCAGAGGCCTCTCTCCCAGCAGCAGCTATCCTAACATCCGAGTATGCTGTTATGTTTTCTGCAGCTTCTGAAGCAACCCAGATGTTTCACACTTGGTGCATAGATTGATTAGGTTTCTTTGTAAGGGACATATTATAATTACTGCCTGAAGTCTGCCTTAGCTGCCCTGATTTATATCAGCTCTGCTCGGTAAGAAGAAGCACTGAGAAAATACAATAAATGGGTTTTATGAAACCGAAATGGGCAGAATCTGATATCTGTTCTTCCTTTCTCCCTACACAGAGTGTGAGCCCATAGAAGCTATAGCCAAGTTTGACTACGTTGGAAGATCTGCACGAGAGCTCTCTTTCAAGAAAGGAGCTTCCCTTCTGCTCTATCACCGAGCATCTGAAGACTGGTGGGAAGGAAGACACAACGGAATTGATGGCCTCGTCCCTCACCAGTACATAGTGGTGCAGGATATGTAAGCAGTGTCTGGTGTGACTAGGTTCTTGGTGGGGTGTAAAAAAATGCTAAAGCAACTAACAAAGTGATTTCCAAACGGGACAGTGGTTGGAGGCTCATATAGGTTAAACATTAGCCTTCTGTGCAGGATGCCTCTCTCTTCATTGCCCTAAATTGACAGCTCTTAATAAAAATCTACTACTAAGCTAAGCTACTTTGTTTATGGATGTGTTCCCAGTACATTAAGAGACTGATGGTGCTGCACCTATTTTAATTTGACTATCTCTTTGTAGCGATTGCTGACATTTGACTTCAGAATAGCAAGGGCTGGAGAAATGCAGCCCTGTAGTCAGTCGTCTTTTACAGTATTAAGCATGTGCTTTGCCAAGGAAGACAAAGTTCTTGTTTACAGAAAGGTTACACTCTAAAGAGCTCACTAAACAGAAGGATTATAAGCAATTTTTGGAGACATGGAGGAGCTGTAGTGCATTATAACATGCCTGCTTTTCTTAAGGGGATTAAAATCTGGGAGTGCCAAGATGCTCTCTGTCACACCTAACTCACTGACTTCTCATCTCACCGTGTGTGTTCTGTTCAGGGATGATACTTTCTCAGATACACTGAGCCAAAAAGCAGACAGTGAGGCCAGCAGCGGACCCATAACTGAGGACAAGTCATCATCAAAGGACATGAATTCTCCCACTGACCGTCACTCTGACGTATATTTAGGAAGGTAAGCTTGCGCATAACGCGTTTCCAGTAGTACTGCTCTCAGCTCGAGTAACACAGCAATTACTTCTCCATGTGCTTATGGTGGGTCACCACAACTTGTCCTATAACCACTTCTTCATTGGTGCAGGCAAAGAAAGAGATCAGAACCTCCACCTCCTCTGAGACGCCCCGGCAGGAGCAGCGACGGTCACTGCCCAGTACACCCACCTCACCCTCTCTCCAACTCGTCCGTGGAGCTAGGTTCCCCCAACCTGGCAACTCACTGCAGTCCCAGAGCCCTCCTTCAAAATCGCAACCTCAATGCCGACAGCCCGGAAAGGAGGCGTAGACCTGGACATGGCAGTCTCACTAACATCAGTAGGCACGATTCTCTAAAGAAGATTGATAGCCCTCCAATTAGAAGATCTACATCATCTGGTCAGTACACAGGTTTCAATGACCATAAACCACTGGACCCAGAGTCAATAGCTCAGGTTTGTGTCTTTTTTATTTTATGTCACTCTCGGATTTTCAGAGGAGCAAGTCTCAGTGAATAGCGTAGCGCAGAGCACGTACACTGGTAGGAGTATGTGTGCAGAAGATCCTACTTAGCTTTTTAAAGAGAGTGCGTGTGAAAGAAGATGCACCAAGGGATCCTGGATAGAAAAAGCACAAGGGGAAATAGACACTGCAGTAGCAATAAAACGAAATTGCTTCCTGTTATACCATAATGGGATTGCCTCTGCCACCCAGAACACTGCGATAGTATGTGATGACAACAGCTGTGTAAATCTGTGTGCTCTGATGAAGGCTGGCCTGTTCTAACTTGCATGTAATTAGTGTTCAATTATTTCTCAGTATTATGCTTTGCAGAAAAGTGCTCTGACTGGCTAGTAGCAACCATTGCCATTCAAAGCACAGATTTACATGCCAGGGTCTTGTGGATTTTACATATAGTTCCTACTGTATGTTGGTTCAATGCTTGTAGTCATGCCTAACATGATGTGCAAGACATAAATAAATCATGGGCCATCTTGTCCCTGTGTGAGCACTCACCTGTCTCATTCCTGGCAGCAAAGAGGTGACAAGGATGGAATAGGGAGCACCCCAATCATCAGATTGGTCTATTGTACAGAGCTGGTAACAGCTGTTGAGCAAATAGATACTGCTGTCTTCAGAACTCGCCTTTTGGCTAGGTAGTATAACATGATTACTAGTTGGCACCCTGAGGGTACGAAATGATTGCAAAACTATTTTACAATAACACTGGCACTCATGTTTTAAAATTTAATGGACTGGTGATGCTTGCTTTCAAACTCTGCTTCCAACGAGGGATAGAAGTGACTGTCATGCTTGGGTCAGAAAGCTGAACCATATATTAGAGAGTTAGAAAGTGTAAATGTTGTTACTGTTTTGGTTTACTCTAAGTTATTTATTTACTTTCCTGGAACCACACACAGTGCTGTTTGGTTTAAGCTATTTTTTTTTGATGCATAGACTAGTGATCATTCAGCAGTAATTCAGAGTCCAAACTTTGGTTAAACTGCATGAAAGTTACTGTGAGCAAGCAAGGAACACCAGATATTTAACGTCAGTTGTATCTCAATACCACTGAAAAATAGCAAACTAGTGTCTTGGTGCATTCTTTTAGCATTTGTGCCAGAAATCCTGATGAAAAAACTAATTTATTTGGTAAGCTCACTGAACAATGTCGTGCAGTTTTTTCTGTTTAAAATTTAACTCAGAGAAACAGGAGGAGAGAAGAGCTGATAGACACACAAGCTTTATTTCCTTACAAAACCAGGTTTATAATCTCCTTGAGGGAATACAGATGCTGAACACCTGGGGCAGTAGATGAAGGGAGCAGTCAGCTAAGAGGTAGCAAATGGACTAAAATCTTTACAGCTGTCAGATTGACAGAGATGACAGAAATCTTCACAGTTAAAAATGCTGCCAAGCAAATATCCATTGGCCTGACAATCACTTAATAAAATGGCTCGCAGGACTTAGTTTAATTGATTCTTTTAAATTTTTTTGGCTGAATTTTGACTCTCTCATGTGAGCAGGTTAAATACTTGTAATGCCCAGCCAAAGCTGCCATCTTGTCAATCGTAGCCTCTTTCAAATAAATCTGGTGGAAATTGGCTTTAGCACTGTTAATATTCATTAAAGAGGGGACGGCTGGCAAATTAACTCTTGCACTTTTCACCCCCTCCTCCTGCTCCGCCAGTGCTTTGCGTTGGGTAGCAATTGGAATGATGTGCCGCTCTCTCTGTGCTCTGACCCAGGACATCGAGGAGACGATGAACACGGCACTGAACGAGCTCCGTGAGCTGGAGCGGCAGAGCTCGGCGAAGCACGCCCCCGATGTCGTGCTGGACACCTTGGAGCAGATGAAGAACACCCCCACCCCTGCCACCTCCACGGAGTCACTCAGCCCTCTCCACAGTGTGGTTTTAAGGAGCTCCGAGCCTCAGATCCGCCGTAGCACTAGTTCTTCCAGTGACACCATGAGTACTTTCAAGCCCATGGTGGCCCCAAGAATGGGAGTGCAGCTGAAACCTCCTGCTCTTAGGCCAAAACCTATTGTTCTTCCAAAAACAAATCCTAGCATAGGGCCTTCCCCTCCTTCGCAGGGTCCAGCCGACAAATCTTGCACAATGTAGACAGCTCAGCCACCCACAGTGCCCGGCTAGGGTATGCTAGGGAAAGGGATGGATTAACGATAGAAGTCAGGGCTCCATAACATCGTGTGTTCATGTTTGTAACTGGAGAGGCTTGGTTTTTCAGTGTTTTTGAATGTATTGTCTGAAACTAGCTACGTTAACATGGGCATTTGTATTTTGTATGGTTTCAATTAAAAGAAAAACTGGACAATTGTGCATCGTTTTAAAAAACAAACATAGACTTACTTGAAAACTTGATGCTGCACCATTTGTAATAAAAACAACACGGATCACAAACAGTTTGCCACGTTGTACCATACTTCACAGTCTTACTGTAGCGATATAAGAACAGATCCTGCACCAAACTAAGGGGTGGGGGGGGTCAGGGGAGGTGGGACCTCTCATTTCTGGGTCACCAAACTAAATCTCAAGCAGGTTAGTAAGAGCTGAAATCTAGCATGTGAGGATTAAGTGTCTGTGTGGAACGTCTAAGTCATCTCAGGCCACATTTCTTATTTAAGACACACCAAAAAAAAGCCACCAAACCCTTACAACTCTCACAATTGGCACTGAGTTTTAGCTTTCTTATTGGCAGTCTCACAAGAAACAAGCGCTGGAAGGATCTGGAGATCACATTACTCTCACCAATAAAAAGCAACATTCCAGGTCACAACTAAAGCACATCTCCAGAAACTCCTTTTCCTGTCCTCTGTAATAGTGTACCTTTACCCATGAAGCTAGACCTTCATTCCCTGATATCACATTTTTCACAAAAGCTAAATTCATTTAAAGTTCATAGTTGAGCGAGCCAGGCTCTGGGGAGCGCGTGAACCAAGTGTTGGTCCATTAGGCTGGCTGATAGGTGATTAAAAGGATCAACTGCACAGTAATTTAGCAAAGTATCCCATTGACTTGATTGCTCTGTGTCCAATTAAAGACATGACTTGAGCTGTAATAGCCGGAGTTTCGAGCTGACCCAGCTCCGCCGGCGGCCTTGCACAGCGCAAACGTTCTGCGCGCGTCCTCGGTTGCGCTGACGGCAGCAAGATGGGGACTCTGGGAAGAGGGACTACCTCCTGCCAGCGATGCAAGGGTCACTCACAGGACAGACAGCTGAGTTTCTACTGCCTAGATTCAAGCTGACTAAAGCTTTCCATAACCACTTTTCTTCCCTTCCCCTTTTTTCTTTTTAAATGACAGAGGTTTCTCATGTCTGTGTGAGTGAAGACTGTCAACTTTGCTTAGCTCTCTGTCGTTCAACTTTGTTAGGCGTGAACTAAATGTACAGCTGTTTTGCACATTGCAACAGTAAGCCATAATATTAGTTCTGTTAATATATTTTTCCAACATCCAATCCATAAAAAAAGTTTCAGTGAAGAAGACGGCAGGGGGGAGGGTGAAAATCCGTTGTGGTTCACCTACTGGAGTACAACTGGCTTTAAGTTTAAAGATCTGTCTTTCCAGGTATTAAGATCTCACCATTGGAAAGCTTGAAGCTGTACCACTCGCTATATGTAACTGAGATTGGAAGGAGACGAGTAGGGACAAAATTTGATAGGTATAACTACTGAGGAGACAGGAGTAATCTCCTGTTGTTATTTAGGAGCAACTTATTCCTACTCTGGTTTACGCCCTGTAGATTGGTAAGAGCCTCAGGTGTGAAAAGTACCCAGTGAACCGCCTCCGAGAGCCAAACCGCTCCTGATATTTGCAAACCCATCTCGATCCAGCCGCAGACTTCACGCTCGTCTCGGTGAGAGGCAGAGTCTTAACCCACCAGAGCAGACGGGGCAGCGTCGGTCAGTGAACCTCCGGCCCTCTCGGCCGTGCTGCCTGGTCCTGGCACCAGGACAAGAGCCTTCTCCAGGCCAGCCCTAGCTGTGGGCCAGTGCGGGTCCGTAGGGTCTGTCCACTTGATTCGGACCAGAGATGTTTTCAAGTAGTTCCCCAATTTACTAGAATCAGTGGAACAAACTGGAATTTCAGCTTTCATTTACGTGCAGTTTTAGTCTAGCATTTTTAAATGAAGCCACCTGGCACAATTGAAATGGATACCTGTATCTTTAAATTGCATAGGGAATTTTGTATGTTTAAATAACTGTACTGGACTCCATAATGCTTATATTAGAAATTGTTTAGCAAAAGAAAATATTAGAAACAGTGCATTTAGTGAATGCATCCACTTAGTGCATTCACACAGTTAAATGTGTAGTTCGATGGTTATTATAGATACTTAAAAGTATAGTAGGTGGATATGTAACAGGAAAGACTGCTACAACTACAGACGTACTAAAGGGTAACTCCTGCACACCTAATCGAATCAGTATTGTCCTTTACTGTCAAGTTTGATAAATTGCAGTACTGGTAGCTTCCTGCTTGTTGACTGTTACCTAATTGTGTCAATGTACATCTGTAGTATGTACATGTGAAAGTGCCTTTAAATTTTAGAGGAGCTTTAGCCTTGCTCTTGTACTGTTGCATTTCCATTGCATCCTTCCCTGTTCGTGTATGGCTGCATTCCCATTGCATTCCTTCCACTCTCAAAGAACAAATGAAAACATGGAAATTTCACGGTTCTGGAAGAGAAATGTACTGTTAATCTGTTGTGACAATGCACTTTTATGTATAGTACTGTACATTCTTGGCATGTACCATTACAAGCTTCAGTATACATTCAGGTTTGTTCCTCATAGTGTATCTTTATAATAAAGAAGATAGTTCTGTCCGTGTGTGTAGTTTTGCTGGACAAGCTGCTGTATCTTCTAACGCGGATTGCCAATGTGCCTTTACCTTCCATATAAAGAGAAAACAAGTGGTGTCCCCCAGCCACCCACACCTCACCCGGCAGCAGGTCCCGTCACCATCTTGGCCTGAGGAAGCGCTTGTTCCCAGACAGGCTCCTACCCCACTTCCAGAGCACCATCCCTATAAGCTCACCCAAGTCCCTCCACACCTGAAGACTCCCGCAAAGGGCTGCTGACCGCACGCAGCTGTCCCTGGCCCCGCTGCAGGAGCCCATCACCCACTCAGCCAGCACCCCACCGTCACCCTCCTGCTGCCCACAGGAAAACAGGCAGCAGGGGGAAGCCCTCCATCTTCCACGTTTTAAAAACACAGTCCCAGAGTTAAAAGGATTTAAAAAGTCTACTGGGGGGAGTGTTTCTTGCAGCAGAAGAAGGGATGCCATCGTGCTGGGTGGGGCGAGGGGAGTGCCACGGGCGAGGGGAGTGCCACAGCTGAAGGTCTTCTTCAGTGACCTTATGTCCGAGTAACGGTGGCAATAACACGCACCTCTGCAGCCAGCTCCGGCAGCCGGGGGGCTGTCGGTGCCAGGCTGCACCAGAGACATTCAGCCACTGCTTGGATGTTGTCAAGGATGGTTCCAGGGCTCGGGCTGCGTCTGCCCAAAGAGGCCTGCCGTGCTGCCCAACTGAGACGGGGTTAGGGGCAGAAGAGCGACTTGGAAACCCATTTCCAATCCTTGCTTAAAAAACAAGGGGCAGGAGCCACAGCTGACAGGGCTGGTTTTAAAGTCATCTCTGGTTGTAGTTGAGGACCACCATCTGCCCAGAGGGGAAGAAGGGGACGGATGTCAGGCTCTGCCGCGGGGTGCAGGGAGACGAGCGCTCTGCCGCCCCAGCTTAGAGCGGGGCTTTTTGTCCGTCATGCCGAGAAAGCCGCGGTAACGCAACCGTTCGTTAGTGGGCTCATCGATCAGCCCATGGTGGCAGGCTTTGTGTTGCAGTGTCCAGTGACCTACTTTGGGTATTTCTTCTTGTCCCCTACTGCACAAAAGTCGACTAAGACATGCAGGAGGGGACAGCAAAGATCAGTCCTCACTCAAGGTCCTGCGCAGCCCAAGGGACGTGTAACCCAGTTTCCACAGTCAGCTCATACGCTGGTGAGGAGAGAAGCTTCTGTCGCAGCTTTTAAGCTGTTTTAAAATAAGTAAGAAAACACAAGAGGAGGGGATTTCCTGCTGTTGTGTAACATGATATTTCGGTGTTGCGCTGCGCTGACTTCTTAGCTTGTGTCCAGGTTTTGTGGTGGAAAAGAGCCCAGCTCTCATGGAGACAGCCAAAGGTTTTGGCAGGTGACTAGGGAACCGTGGACTTCACTGGCACTCAGAAAAGCAAAGGAGTGATGAGCTGTTTTGCTGTGAAAAGTATTAACTGAACAGAAAAGGAACAGCAGTGGCAGCAGGGTGTTTTGTTCTCAGGCCACTGCTGAAAATCGCCAGTTCAAGCCATGTGCAGCTCCAGGAGGCTGCACCGCCCCGGCCAGCACGAACTCCTCAGCCAGCATGAGGAAATCACCGAGGCCCCAGCGCAGGTGTTTAGTTCTCCTCGGTAGAGACGCACGGTTTGTTACTTGCTCTGAGGCTAATGGAGACGTGACCTACCCAGAAGGATCCACAGTCGCTCTGTTTTAATCTCTGCTACCCCACAGGATGAAATTGGTCCGGATGGTACTGATACATGGGGAACAACTGGAATCAGCCCGAGTATTAACTGGTGATAGTACAGGATGAAAGTACTGTTCTTGCAGGTAGGAACATTGCATTTCCCATTAACTTGGCTCTTGGAGTGGGAGAGAAACGAACTCTATAATATATGAAAGGTCAACTAGATTGACAAATTAGCACCTTAAAATCCAGTTAGATAACTCAACTCAGTGTTTAAAAAAAAAAAATAATTAAAACCAACCTCTAGCTTAGACATGCCACTGTAATTGCAGCTACTCCCTTGCTGTTTTCTGCAGGGGTGTTTGCAGACCATGCAGCCGACGGCTCCAGCAGACCCGGCATAAGCGAGTTTTCCTGCCAGAGGGGCCGCAACGTTGACATCCTTATGTCTTGGAGGTGCCACTCACCCTGCCACAGCCCGCCCTGACCGCGGTGGCTGTGGCCTCCACTCGGCTCAGGCCATCGCTCCAGCCCCCTCCCGGCACACAGCCCCACCAGATACCCCACTGACCGCTGGCTGCCCCACTCCCCAGCAGCCCTGTTGCCCTGACACAGCGCTTCAGTCCCTGTTATCCAGCCACCCTACTGACCAACCGGGTCAGAACCAGTGAAGAGAGGAAAGGGGCTGGAAAATAAAACTTATGAGGAGCGGCTGAGGGAGTTGGGGCTGTTTAGCCTGGAGAAGAGGAGGCTGAGGGGAGACCTGATTACGGCCTACAAATACTTGAGAAGGGATGGTGGGGAGGTGGGGGAAGGGCTCTTTACATTAGTGACGGGTGATAGAACAAGAGGAAATGGGTATAAGCTTAGTCAGAGGAGATTCAGGTTGGATGTTAGGAAGTATTTTTTCTCTGAAAGGGTTGTCAGCCACTGGAATAGGCTGCCCAGGGAGGTGGTTGAGTCCCCATCCTTGGATGTGTTTAAGAATAGGGTGGATGATCTACTTAGGGATATGGTTTAATGGGGATTAGGGATGGTTGGACTCGATGATCTCTAAGGTCTTTTCCAACCTAGAAATCTATGAATCTATGAATCTATGAAAACAGGGAATGGCAGGTCAAGGAGCAGGCCAGCATCCCAGCTGGACGGGAGTACGGAACTTGTGCCGTGGCACTAAGCCGGACTTAAAGGAGAAAAGAGCAATATACTTCCTCACCTTCTTCTTCACGTGACAGACACAGCGTTAGCCAGCGGGCCCATGGGCTGGAAGGCAATGCGCGGAATTTGATGCTGACCAAGGGATTAAATAGCATTAAATAACACAAACCGGGTCCGGCTGAATCGGATGAGTTTTCAGCGGGTTTTCTCCCACCTTTCTCAACGCAGACGTGCCAATCAAAACCAGCGGGAACACAGTTTTTACGTCTAACTTTGCGGT